AAGGACGTCCCCATCCAAGGGCGGCGTACCTGACTGATTTGGGATCTGACGCCTGACAGCCGCATCTCAAACGGCTTCCTGCCACCGCCACCTGCAACCGTCGTCACTAGCCGCAGAGACGGCTCCAACAGAAGGAACAGTGGCGGTTCTGCCCGACCAGAGGAAGTGACACCCGAACTGGYAGGAGTTCAGAAGTAATCATGCCCGACCTGACGGAGGCCTGGAAGTGAGTACGCGAGGTGGTTATAAAAGGATTCTACCCCCCCTCCGAGGAGGAGGTATGCTAACTCTCGCGCTATCTGGTTATTCTTGCCTCTAAAGGATTCTAACTTGAGCTTCGGAGCCCTTACGCCGGGATCTCCCCGGAGCTTCTCTTCTCCCATTTCAGGTTCCTGTTACTCACTCCAGAGRCAAGATCGTCAACAGCTAAGACCGGCCAGATTGTGCATCATCAGGGAGTAATGGAAGAAGTAGAATGACGTGGTCCCCATTTCATATCGGAGAGAATTGGGCTGTATTTGGTATAATAGAAAATAAGAGAATCAACAAGTTGAGGGGAAAAAAATTCTTCAAAGAATTCTGTGTTTTGGGATAGCATTTTGCATAAGATGTTGATAATTATAAACAAATAAGACTCTGTACAAACAAACAGAGCCTAAAAAAAGTTGAAGCCACGGCATAGAATATTGCTTGCAAAGGGAAGACTGTGAAAACTTTGTCTAAAGCCATCAACTGTTGTTTTCACTTTTCAGAGACAGGCAGACAATCTTAGAGATTTCATTTGATGTGGCTTTGCCCCCATAGAGTGGGCCAGCTGGCCAGGCACTGGAGACAGTAAACTATACTCAGTTAGTGGGTTAATTGTGGCAAGGAACATGCACAGGCCCACTGGCATTTACAACAAAAAGAACCCGCCCTTCTCCAGGATTCAAAACTCTGCAAAGGGAGGGGAGCTGAGTGAGAGTGACCAACTATACTTACTTAGGTAAATGGTAATATTCAATTTACATGTGATTAGGGATGGCAATGGGGTGGATTTGGGAAGAGTTTTGTAAATTCTAGATTTTATTCGCCTTCCTAAACCTCCCAATCGGTAGTGGGTGGATTTTGAGAATCGAAAGCCTTTTTATACATGAAATGCAAAATTTTACTGTATTTAAGGGTAGGGCAGATTGGGTTTAAAACCCACATCTAATTTTCTATTAATTATTTGTTGTTATATATAAGCAATAAATAAGTAAAATAATATGAATTAATATCAACATTTTCAATTATTTAATTAAGACATGTAAAAACACATAAGCTATCAATTATCCTTCACATAAAGTTCAAAATATTATTAAATTCAACACCTAGCTAGTACATAAAATTCATATACTTTCCAACAATATGTGTGGGTCCAGGAGGGTCAGGCTTAGCCTAATACTATACCCCACCCATACCCATGCAAGTTGTAGAATCTCAAAACCCATCCCTATCCCAAAATCCATCATTCAAGCAAAAAAAAGAAAAAAGCTCTCCCTATCAGGATGAATACCCAAAAATAGGATAGAATTTTCCATCCCTAAGGCAATGTTTGGTTTGAAGGGGTTTGTAAAGGTTTCCCAAACTTTCCCTTACTTTCTCTACCATTTCCTTCAAACCAAACACAACCTAAATGTGACCTGAATTGCCTAATGTTCTCTTATTTGTCGTAGAAGTTGCTCAAAGGTTGCTATACAGCGACTGATCCGACATCTCACATTCTATTCTGACGGAGTCAAGACTAGTGCCCCTGACCCCAATTTATGGTCCTACAACTATGTTTGATTGCAGTGGAAATTTATTCGCACGGATGAAAAATTATGCTTGCGCAAAATACTTACAATGCAATTTTTGATTTATTTTTATTTCAAAATGTACCTTATTTTGTTTGATTAATATGACACAAAGAAGTAAAATAATAAAATAAAATTAAACCAGAATTTACATTATTTTTCATTTGCACTACCATGCATTTATATTAGTATAAATAAAGTTGAATTGCAACCAAACACAGCCTACGGTCGTGACGGTCCTATCTCTTTTTTGGTTTTTCGATTTGGATCTCTTTTGAAACATGTTTACATCCCATTAATGGAGGCATCCCCATGATCATTATTCCGAAACAAACATCTTAATCCTCTCACTCGGTCTTTTTTGGAGGTTCGGTTTTTGTTGGTGTCCATCAGTCTGGGAACCGGGTGGCTGATTCCCTAGCGCAAAAAGCTATTGTAAGCCCCTTTAGCTTAGTATTCTCTGGCCCGATGCCCCGACTGGCTCTCGGCACTCGGCAGGTATCCTTTAGATAGAGCAAAGAGGTGCAATTCTAAAGAATAATTTTCCCAATTGTTCTTTATTTTTTTTCATATCACTCACCTAATTAAATAATGCATATCAATTAAATTAATTTAAAAAACAATTCAACGTATAACTCAGACTTAATTCCAATTATTTAGGTCTGTTAAATTATTAAACTTAAAATTTTAAATTAATAAAGATCTTGGAAATAATTGATTAGCTTTCATTTTGCTTACATGCAATGCAATGCAATGCTGAAATTTACTGCAAAAGCATGAAATATATTAAATTGTTTCTGGTTTAAAAGGGGTGAATACAGAAGTGCAATGATATGCGTCTATCAAAATGACAAATTGTCCAGAGGAAATAAACTGTAGTCCACTCATTTTCAATACAGCCCAAAAAATTGGGGCTTAGGCCTAGGTTTTACTACTTAAGGCCCAGCCCGCTCCCCCACACCATCCAAACATGCATCTAAGAAATGCAATCCTGTATAGGGATTTTTCTCCTTCTATTCCACTCATTTTGTGACATGCCAACAATTCTCCGTCTTAGCTATCTAACAGAGTTTGTTGCACATTACATATGGATTGTGAGTTTGTTATAATTAGTTACAACCTGTCAAGATGTATAGAAGGTTGCTTGCACATGTAATCTTGTCTGTAAATATTTAATGCAAATAGGTGTATAAAGTCAAGCGCAAACCCAATGGCTCTATAAAACGGTATAGGGCTAGGATTGTAGCAAAATGCTATATTCAAACTAAAGGCATTGATTATAAGGAAACATATGCTCTCACAGCCAAGCTTACTACTGTACTACGATATCTCTTATCCATTATGTCGTTCGTAAGTGAGAGCTCCATCAAATGAATGTAAATAATGAATTCTTACATAGAAACTTACATGAACAAATTTATATGCTCCCCCCCCCCCCTCCCGGATTATTCAATGATGGTGATACCTCCTGAGTGTGCAAACTCCAACGCTCTCTTTATGGTCTTAAGCAAAATTCAAGACAATGGTTTGAGAAACTTGCAGCTGCACTCCAAAGACATGGTTTTCGGGCCTCAAATGCTGATTGCACTCTATTCACCTTATCTAGTCCAAACAACTTCCTTGTTGTCTTAGTATTTATAGACTATCTTGTCGTCAATGACCCTAGCCAAATTTGTGCTCTCAAAGAATACCTGGGCTCATGTTTTCACTCTACCAGAGGAAATACATTCTGGATATTCTTCAAGATGTTGGCATGACTGAATCAAAGCCCGGCCCATTCTCAATACTACAACAACACCACCTTGCTTTAGCTACTGGGCCTTTGCTCCAAGATGCAGCCTGGTGCAGAAGATTGGTTGGACGTCTAGTGTATTTGCAAGTTACAAGGCCTGATATAACATTTGTTGTCAATATGCTCACACAATTCATGAATACACCTCGACAAGAACATTGGGATGCTGCACTCCACATTCTCGGATATTTGAAGGCAACAATTTCATATGGCATATTCTTATCTGCATCAAGTGAATTAATTCTCTGAGCTTAATGCAATTCAGATTGGGCCGGTTGCCCAATAGCCTGATGTTCAACCACCGGCTATAGCACAATGTTGGATAATTTTCCATTAAATCTTGAAAGTCCAAGAAGCAAAGTAATACTGTCTCAAGATCTTCAATAGAGGCGAAGTATCACGCCATGGCTACTGCAGCAAGTGAACTTCTTTGGCTAAAACGCTTCTTCTTTGACATTGGGCTTTCTCATGCTGAAACCATGCAATTATACTATGATAATAAACCGCCTTGCATATAGCAATTAATCTAGAAAAGGACCAAGCACATTGAGATTGTTTGTCATTTTGTGCGAAATTTCATAGTCTCATATAATCAATCATGTATCTTCCAAGCTTCAACCAGCTGATACTTTTACCAATGCCCTTGTTCGGTTGTGATAAGTTTCACTCCTTAGTATCCAAGTTGGGCATGTTTCTTCCACCCTCCAATCCATGTTCAACTTGAGAGTGAGTCGTAATTGACCAATAGAATTTGTTGCATAGTTACACGTGGACTGTAGGTTTATTAGATTTAGTTACAACCTGTCAAGATGTATAGACGGTTGCTTGTACATGTAATTAAATACTCTGTTTTCTGTACCATTTTACACTATGAGTTATCGGTTCTCTCTCTCTTCTTTTAGTTGCTGGGGATTTTTAAGTTGGCCGAGGAATTTATGGAATGTTCCTACAACGTCAACGCTTTTGTTTTCATTTGTTTCTAAAATTGCCATACTGGCCAAAAAATAAAAAACATGTTTTCAAACTCTGATAAAACCAAAATGGTTTTGTTTAAAAAACCAGAATACATAGTATTTTAAAAAAACAAAATTTTCTAGTATTGAAATATAAACTATATGATTTGTGAAACTTATTAAGGGGGGTGTTCGAACAACGTGGTTGATTTTATTTTTGAAAACAAAAACAACTGATCAACAAATTTAACAAAACCAACCATTTTTTTCAACACCCCCTAAATAACCAAATGAGAACATGTTTTTGATTTTAGTTTTGTTTTTTAAATATAAACAAGAAACAATCTTTTAAAATTTAAAAATATATAATTTTGATTTATTTTTGAAACCAGCAACGACAAAAATAATTTAATTTGGTTACACCAGAATTTCATTGATTAGAACGATTTCAGCTTATTCATCTTCTTCCTCGTTCTTCTGTTCGCGTTGGTCATATGATGTCGACTTCCTCCAATCTATCTGGCAGTTGTATATCCGGATTCCGGATCACATGCCAGTGCCACAAAACGGTTCAAATAGTGCAAACCGGACGGTTTGGGCTGGTGAAATGTCACCGGGAGGGAATGCAGATATACGATTAATGTACGATTGCAGGTGTGGGAAGAAAGGATCCAGGCATCCAGCGGTCCCTCTCACTGGATCCAACGGCTAATCTTTTGGATGCATATTTCTAGAGTAGATGTAAGCTGGTTCCTTTTTCCACCAACACTCAACAGCTAAGATATCCAGGATTTGTTACGAAATAAGCCCTTTTCGAGTTTCGCTCTCGCGAATCCCTCGCACTTGTGTTTTTCTTCCAGTTTTCATTTGCCCAGATCTCCTGCAACTGCGAGGAATACCTTCAGTGTCGGATCGATGGAGAATCCAAAAGTTCAAGAGGTTGGCGAGAGAATACTATGAACCTCTTTTTTTAATTTATTTCATTACTTTCCCGCGTTTATTTCCTTCTCTTCAGTTGGTTTGAAATATTAGTTTCCTGAGTATTTCTACTTCTTAGATCTCGTGTCTCACTGCTAATTTCTTTTGTTCCATTCCTGTAATCTCCAGATTCTGGAGAAGCAAGTATTGACGGTCGCGAAGGCCGTGGAGGACAAGCTTAATGAAGAGATCTCGGCTTTAGATCATCTCGACCTCGACGATCTCGAGGCTTTAAGGGAGCGGAGGCTACAACAGATGAAGAAAATGGCAGAGAAGAGGAGTCGTTGGATCTCCCTCGGCCACGGCGACTATTCTGAGATCCCCTCCGAGAAGGATTTCTTCTCTGTCGTCAAGGCCAGTGAACGCGTCGTTTGCCATTTCTACCGAGATAATTGGCCTTGCAAGGTACTGTTTAACTGGACATTCCCATTGCCTTTGTAATTCTTCTTTCTTTCTTAGTGCTTTTCTGGTAATTTTCTTGATAGGGCTTTTCCTAATATATTGCTAAAATATAATTTACATAGAAATGCTTATGTTTAACTCGGAACACGGTATTAATGTACAAACATTTTGCATTAAAGGACAATTGTATTACTAATTTACCATATAAAGTAATCAATGTTTTAGTTTGGAACATGCTGATGGTTGATGGGAGAAGATGATGAAGAGTAAAGCATAAGAATCAAAGAATGAAAAAAAAAAGGGGTAGTCTATAGGACAAATTGAGAACTCGCCCCCTGTTAAGATTATTCTGTTTGGACTATAGCAAGTACTTGTTGATGGAATAAGGAAGTTTGCTCGTCCAGTATTCTTTATGCAGTTATGCTGCAAGGTATGGTGTTGTTATTTCATTACTGTGTACTGCATTGGCATTTTTCTTTTGAAGAAGGTCGCTGTCTATATTATATCAGAGCTGAACAAGTTGTATTTAAGAAGGTTTTCATAGCTATACAAAGAGAAAAAACGGCCCTCCTTAAGTATTAAAACTAAGGAGATAAAGAGATCTTCACTGTGAGGAGAGAAAAATTACATTTATGCCCCTGATCTTGCAAGCCCATCTATCGTAGCATCTCATTCTGTTGGTATCCACCCAATTTTAGCTGAAGTGGGTTCAATGGTTTCCATACTCTCATTAAAGGTTTCAAGCACTCTAGTTGTGTTAGCTGAATCAGCACCAGTGAAGAATGATAAAAAATAGTGTTGCTTGGCAATCTTAACATTGGTCTCAAGGGCCACGAACTCAGCTTCAAAGAATACATTCTTCCGGATGCAACTATTTGTAACGCTTCTTGTGCTGCATGCTAGTTAAGAAAGCAATTGAAATCTTCAATTGCGCTGACTTTTGGTACCAATATGTCTCCTCCAAGCTCTTGTCAATCATATTACTTTACAAAATACAAATGCATACATAATGTCAAGTTCAAATTTTTGTGACCTCAGATTTACCATCTGAACTCTCAATATCATGTTTAAGTTGGTATACACATACAAAATCTGACCTTGATTTGTGTTACCTATTTGGCTACGATGCTGATCTGAGGTAGCGTTCATTTTGTGTGGACTTGGGTTGAGCATTTGCTAAAATTTGAATGGGCCCAGGCCTGATGCTGTGTAATTTCTTTAAGTTGGGTATCCAACTTCCACCCCTGACTTGAAGCATGCGATTTTAATCATTTAAATCCCAAGGTTAAGTGGGAGTTGAAACTTATATCCATAAATGTACTTGGATGCAACAAGTTTGGTGGTTGGGAATACCTTGTTGAGATTATCTATACTGCCAAAGGACATTATAGACTTCTTCCTATTGGTCTCCAGCCCTGTACAAATTGTGAACCAGAATACAATACATATGATATCCTAAAGTCCAAAATCCTAATTGGGCAATATGAAAAAAAAAAAAAAATGCAGACTTGGTGATGCGTGTAAAATTTGAATTCAGATTAGCCAAACGCGATGGCTGTTCAGCATGCTATTGGAACCAATGATAATGCCCCACACCAGTGGTAAATACATGGGGCCCACAGCGAGAAGTTAAATAGTTGTGGGTCCCATGTATTTTATTACTGGTGTGGAGCTTTATCGTTGATTCCACAGCCAGCTGAACAGCTATTGCATTCAGCTAATCCTTTCTTGGTAAGTCATAAGATTCGTATTTTACTATTGAAGAATTTCCATACCTCGTGAGTTATATCATAACCCTTCGAAGATTCACAAATAAATTTATAAGTTGGTCTAGGACTGGATAGGGGTCTTACTAATTTTAGATCTGGTTGTGGGCTTTGTAGGGTGAAGGAAGGGCTGTAGGTGATTAGGGATGATGAATGGAAGACCAAGTAGATAGCTTGCTGTCCCCCAAAGAATGAACAAAACATTAGAAAGAAAGAACTCTTGCTGTTCAGGTAAACAACAATGAGATAGGTCACTTAGAAGAAGAAAAAGGTGAGAGAGGGCTGCATTCCTGATCCTATCCTTTCTAGTTTTTCCACTCATCCATCCATCTTAGCATTCACATTTCTGCCACACTCATTTTCTGAAAATTGTTGTTTGTCATTGAACTAAAACTATGATTTGACAAATTAAGTTTTATGGTTGGCATGCTTGCATGTAATCTCTGTACCAATTACTGAAGTAGCCTTGTTTTTCTTTGTAAAGGTTTTACTTGGATATGTTGATTATGGAGTTATAGTTAGCTTTACCTTTTCTTCTTGAAGGTTTTTGGAATTCAATTTTTGTTGCTCATTTCTTGGTTTATGCTCAGTATATTGGCTGAGTTAAGACAAATTATCAGTTGGGATGACTTTAATATGAATGTTACTTGTCCACTGAAGAACCTTAAAAATTGAACTTTGCTAAAAACCAGAATAAAAGTATATGAAATGAATGCTATTATACAATAAAGAATCTTATACCATTAATGCAGAACCTATCTCAACACAAGTTTGTGGTCTTTGCACAGGTAATGGACAAGCACATGACCATTCTGGCAAAACAGCACATAGAGACACGTTTTGTAAAAATTCATGCCGAGAAAAGTCCATTCTTGGCTGAGAAGCTTAAGATTGTTGTTCTCCCAACCCTTGCATTGATAAAGAATGCCAAAGTTGATGATTACGTGGTAGGATACATGGGTTTATACAATTAGTTGATACCTAAATTATTTAGCTACTGATTTGTTTTCTGCTGTGCCCAACTGAGTTTATTTCAGGTAGGTTTTGATGAGCTTGGAGGAACAGATGAATTCAGCACAGAGGAACTGGAAGAGAGGCTGGCGAAATCTCAAGTTATCCTTTTTGAGGGTGAGTCGTCAGTAAACCCATACAAGACTAGTACATCAACCAGAAGAAGTGTCCGGCAAAGCACAAACTCAGATTCATCAGATTCAGATTAAGTAGGGATTTCGTCTTTTGTTGAAAAGGCTTTAACCACTTGGTAGAAAGGTGGGTTTTGTGGTTATATTTCTACATTTGATGTCTGTTCAAGGGTTTTAATGTATCATATTTGCGCTCCATTGAGGTTTTAGTTTACTATATTATTTTTTGTTGGATTCTTGATAGTATAGCAAGTATAACCCTATGCTGGTGTTACAGCTGCAACACTTCTTTGTATTAGAATTGGTTTGTGATCCCTCCATAGTTGAGGACTATATTTGACTCTAATTGTCACATGCACAACATTGTGCAACTGGTCAGATCCAAGATCATTCTCCAAACCCATGCTTATGGAATTTAGGTTATATTTTAAGGTACTTTATGAATACGACTGGATTTGAAAATGTCAGTGATGATCTGAATTTGACTTGGGGGTTCTGTGGCATTAGTACATGTCCTCTATGTGCATAAATATCTTGAGAACCAGAGAATCCAGGTGGGCGGTAATTCCTTATAAGCATTTTTTTTTAGCATCTAGGCCCAAAGCCAACTCGATCCATTCAACTCACCCATCACTATATAATCAACTTTCCATTCATGTATGCATTGCTGCAGATTCTAGGATACATGCAAGCTTCAAAGTAATTTTCTGTTGACCTTCATGTTTCGACCATGTGCAGGCCTACCAAACAAATGTTTTATTGCCTTTTGGTAACCCTTGAACTTGAGCTACGGGAGCCATCTATTCTGCTATATAATTGGGACAAGGCTTAGATGATGACTACGACGATGATGAGTGGAGTAATTAGGATATGTTTCGGTATGGTAGGGAAACCCAAACAAATCCTACAAATAGATGAGGAATATGTTCAAATTTTAAATACTACATTATAGAATTACGAGTTAAAACGGAAGGATCAGAAACCCAAATAGGTTTCTTACGCGTTTTTACAAATATTCAATTTTGTATCATGAATTTTATAATATATAAGCTTAATATAAATTTGTATTACATGTATCTCAGCTGTATCAGTCCAGTTAGCGGGTGCATCATGCCTCTCATTTGAGCATGTATCCTATATCAACTATATCATAATGATACTTTTAACCTTGGAATTTTGTGGAGGGGATATGATAAATTTATTGCATAAAACGGAAGGATCATGAATCTTCAAAGCAATGGATACGATAGTGCTGCTGCGTCCCTAGTTATCCAACTAGGGTTCATCTTATCAACTCAAGTCGCTAAACCAAACCAACTATTTCTTTGATCAGGGTGTTTAAGTAGGCGACCGAAGAGAAAGTAAAAGAAATTCATTAGACAGGAGTTAAAGGGTGTTTTACAGAGTCGAGAGCTCAGAAGATTTTTTAAATTAAAAAAAAAATGTCAGAAGCGAGAAGAAAAGAGTCCAAGCGGCATCCGGATTTGGGGTAACTTTGGCTCTTGGGCTGTTGCCCCCCAACAGCCAAAGTTTTTTGGAGTAGTCTTGCCCCTCTTCTTTATAGATTCCATCTCTATAACTAAAAAATACGGACATCAAAAATTCGTATTGTTCATCATTCATTGGCTTAAACTTAATAATCTGAAAATTTGAGCAAATGAGCGACTAACAACGCTTACAAATTCAGACTGGGAATATCAATATTAAAGCAATATATACATTAAAAAGGTATAAATATACATAAATAAAGGAATTGATTAAGGGTAACAAGACAACATAAATAAATGGTCATGAGTTCAAGTTTTGCTATTAGCATTTTGAAATTTCCATTCATTTACTGATGCAGAAGGTTTTATGAAATTAAAACCAGTTCACCAGTTCTTTGGTAAAACTAAATGGTCAGCCAATTTTGGCCACTTTTCATAGAATTCCATTTTTTATGGTATGACTGAATCAGCCATGGGCCTGGGTCACAGTTCAACAGGTTTAAGGTCTGGTTTTCTAACCACTGGTTATTAACGCAATAGGGCGCTCAAGAATTGAGAGCACAAACATCGAATCATCACTTTATTTGGTTAAGGTATAGAAAATGCTAGAACAGCAGTTCTTTTTCCTATTTTAAGAAATAAAAAGTTATTACAGCAACGCTGTGACTGTAATATGGGGTATCATCCAACAGACGAGGGAATGTGTAAGTGTAACAGGCTAAGAGTGGATCTTTTTTTCGATATCTACGCATCCTTCAGAGGAAGAAATGACGGTTCCTTGTACTTGGTTAGCACAACAAAATCAGTGCGAAAAGAACAAAATTTTTGTCAAATCACCTTTTGATGAGGAAGCCTTCTTTAAATGGTTCTACAATGCTTTTGTACTGATTTCTCATGCAGCGATCATGTGTCCCATCCAAAAGGTTGGTAGCTCTCCTACCAGTGCACTGCAGGATGACAGGTGTGCAGGGATCATCTCATACTTGATTACCAATCAATTTGGGAGCTTCCTGAGAGGACTTACTTTTCTTGTGTACGATCCAAACAATAATGGGATGGATTTGGGTATAAATCAGCATGATGAAAAACCCCATCAGTTATAGCTGCTGAAGCTCTTGCTCAGGGACATTGGCACCAACAGGTTTGTACATGCCAAGTACTTGCTGTCTATGTCTCCAAATCAACCATATCCCAAAAATTGATAAACTAAGAACCAACGTAGCAACAGCCCCTAAAACGACAGCAAAAAGATGTTCCTTCCACCATTTTCTGTAGAACTCCAAAAAAGAAGACACAAAAGAAAAATGAGAACAAAAGCAAAACACAGAAAACAAAACACATTTGTCAATATGTATCAATGTTTCCAAACGTATAGTTGACTCAGCCAGTTGGACTGGTTGACCCATCACCCGGACAAGAACCTGGGTCTCTTTATCCATACCCTACTTTTCTGAAAAAAAAAAAAAGTTGATTAGGTAAAACAACCCAGTGATCTGTCTGGTTGAACTGTTGACTGCTTGACCCGGTCAATGGGTAACAGGTTTACACATTAGACTTCTTTTTTAATCATAAATACCCTTTATTTTCAAGGAATTTTCACGCAAGTCCTAAAAACCAAATGTGTAATGTTTTAGACCATTATTTTTTTCTGCAATTTTTTCTTACTCTTCGCTGCAATTTTTTTTTGGTATTTTTCTGCATTTTATCTATTTTTTCTTACCCTTTTTCGACTGTTGAACTGCTGACCCACCACCTGGAGGGAAAAACAATTTTGTTTCGGGGTCATTTTTTTAAAACACTAATATATATGCATTTCTATTAATTTATTATTATTTTTTCTAATGTTGCAAATACCCCATGAATAAAAGCTAAATTTGATCATATAATTGATCAAGAATATAGAAGGATGTCATAAAAGATGTGTAAAGTTGACATAATGTGTCCAAGCCCAAGAGGCAACTGTCTCAGTTTGTTTTTCTTCCTCACTCGTATGAAAATAATTGGAACCTAAGCTTTAGAAGACCCTTAAGGGAAGTAGATATCACTGAAATTACAAATCTACTATACTCCCTAAGAGAGGTCTACATTTCTTTGACAACCTGAGACCAAAGAATTTGAAAACATCACCCTGCTGGCAAGTTCCTAACCAAATCCTTTTTCAGGGGCCTGGTGTCAGGAATCTGTGATACAAGGTTCTTGTTTAAGAAGATTTGGCCTCCTAAAGTTTCTTTTCCATGTGGAAGGCCTCCTTGAAGAAAATAAACACTTGTGACCTGTTATAGAAAAAGAATAGGAACAGGTGGTTTATCTCTCCTCATGTCTTCAGTCTTCACTTTTTGCCTCAGTGAAGGTGAATCTGCTGATCACCCCCTCCTTCATTGCTCAGAAACTAGGAAGATTTGACTTCATTTCCTTAATCTGGTTGGTTACAGCTGGGCTTCTCCAGACTCCAGAGTAAGTTGTGGAGTTGTTGTGGCAATGGAAAGGCAAAGGTCTAGGAAGAAGAGGGAAAATATACTGGTGTACAGTGGCAGGCAGTGATGTGAGGTGTGTGGGAAGAAAGAAACAACTCTCATCTTTGATGGAAATGCCCTGGGTAAAACCTGGTGCAGCAGCAGGAATTGGCAGTATCTTCAAGAAGAGGGATGAAAGTATGTTGGATTTTTAGAGGACTAATTGGGACTGCTGATTCAACAAAATCAGAGAGGTCTTGGCTGCTCTCACTGGGCTTCGAATCACTAGAGAATTTAGGTGGTTTTCACTAACCTTGGCCAAGGCTAGAGACATCCTGAATTCTTTGGACGTAAATCAAATGGATTCCATGGGAGTCAAACACAATAGCTAAAGGATTGGCTAAATCAGGTGCCCATAGGGAAGCTTTGTATAGTGACAGAATTATGCCTGTATAACTCTTTAGTAGTGTTTTATTGCTTCCTTGTACATCATCTTAAGTACCCTTTTAATTTTATCAATATAATCAGCTACCTTCTATCTCAAGAAAAGTTAACATAATGTGTCTGTCCTAACATGCATGGACATGCATCCATGCATGTGTGCGCAGAGAAATCCTCAGACTCTATCTTTGTTCCTAAAAGTCCTAGAGGTCTGTTGCTAGTATCAGGAAGCCATTTTAACCAGGAACATGGTGTATTTTCTTGTATATGATATCTTCTGCTATATTATTAATTACTACAGCTCTCACATTTCAGTATTTTTGAAATTAGGCTTTTCAAAGAAAAAAAATGCTTTTAAAATTATACATCTGTTCTACTTATAAGGTCTTGGTCACATGAAAACCAAAAAATTATAAACATGGAACAGGTACGTGCAACAAGAAAATTATATGTTTGTTATGCATATCAAAGCCTCAGGTCAATTGCCCAATGTTGATTCCAGCTATATGGACTGGATACAGACCTACCTTTTTTTCTTATGTATGTGACAAAGTAGCTTCTCTCAGATTTGAACACACATTATCGTGCTTGTCAGATCAAGTTTTACCAATAATTTTCATGTGCATATTTTAAAATTGTCCCTTTAATATTATTCCAACTTCAACAAAGAGAAGTGAAGTGAAAGAAAAAAGAGAAAAGGAAATAAAGGAAGAAGGAAGGGAGAGATAGAGAAGAGAGAAGAAAATAGGAAAGACAAGCAAGGAGAAATCAAACTCAACTCTTACTGTCGACCCAGTTTGTATTGATATTTTACTGATTGCTGAAATGACAACAATGCCCCTAGATAAGCTACAGCCAAGGTTCAAAATTTCGATATAATACGCCCCATATCAGGTGTATCGTATCGGTAGCTTCACGATACACCCCTACAGGGGTCGTATCGGGGTGTGGCCTAGTTCAGGGGTAGATGGTCTACCATAGACCAGCCTTAGACCGACCCCTCTGAACCAATTTCAAAGAAAAAAATGGTGCGGTGAGCTTCAATACAGGCCGATATGCCCCTACCGGCATATTGGCCTGTATCGATATTTTAAACCTTGGTTACAGCAGATATAAGAGAGAAAAATAACAAGCAAAAGACAAGAATGCCCCTGTCAAGTAATTCTAACATATATATTTTTGGTTGCTAAAATGACCACTTACTGAATCGCTTGAACAATATCTAATATATAATAAAAAACTAATAATTTAATATATAATATGCACATCAAAGTTCAGAAGAAAATAAAAAAACTAATATATAATCAAGTGACGCATCACTTAAAGTCATACCTACGTCTAACTATTTAAACTCTATAACCTATAATACATAAGATGACTTATTCAAACATCAAATTCAAGGTTAATTCCTCAAGCATAGCAATATGCCAGGTGAGATCGACCGAGGTTCAGCCGCTCAGAAAATACATACCCTACAAAATGTGAATCACTTGTGAACCCAAGCATACCTTTTAAAACACCATGCAAGGTACATGTTACTCCAGTTTTCAAATACTTAATGAATCAGATTGGGAAAGACATGATCGGCTGTTTAGTAAGTGTCAATTCTGTCAGATCTTGACTTAGTATTTTGGATTGTTGGATCACCAAACTAAACAATGAGATCAGACAGACAGGGAAATCCAAATCACTCATGCAACCAAAAAACAACAAAAGAAAAAGTTGGAAGTTGAAAGAAATAGATGTCCTAAGAGCATGAACTATGAAGAGAGAAGTTTCAACTAAGAGCATAGAAGCCATCAGATGAGACTGTTTAGGGGTGATCATTTATAGCCCAGCCCAGCCTGGCCCACACATATTCCATATTACATAAATATTATAATATAACAAATATAATGCATACTATATATAATATTTTATACTAGATTAATGTAGCACATGAATTTTATACATACATTATATGTCATGTAATATAAAATATTATATATTTAAAGTCATAGACCTGGTATCCAGATCAGGCTATAGCTCTTATCATAGCCTGGCCCAGCTTAGCCCATGATCACCCTTAAGACATTGATTCTTCCTGAATTTGTCTCCCAGTCAGAAGACTTGACAAAAAGGAACAATTCCATCAAACCACATAGTCATATAAAATATTCTCCCCAAGAAAATGGTTAAAGAAGACAACATAAGCCCAAAAATGAACCTATAAAAGTAGATATTAGGAAAAAACTTTCTAGAAAGTAAGACTTGAAATACAGATACCTCAACCACCTGGCATCTACAGAAATGATGCCAAGCCACATTGAACCACCTGATAATTTTCCAATGAAGAGAAAATGAAACAAGCTTGGGTAATATGTAGGATCCCAACAATAAAAATTTGCTAATAATAATAAGAAACAATGAAATAAACTAGTTCAAACAATAAAGTAAAAGAAAAAAAAATAACATACCGTTTTCTTGGTGGCTCAACTTTCCATTGAACCACCTGGTAACTTCCAAATGTATCAGGAAGATGCACACGGTGTTCAGTTAAGCGCACAATTATGCTCTGGAGAAATGACATGCTTATAAGGTGGCATAACAAAATACTCATAGGAAACTTATTCTTTGAAGATTGTTCAAAATGGTAGAATATACATTACCATTGCCATGGGATTAGAAATGTAGCCAGCATGTTCTGCTGGAAATATGGCCCATCTTATTAGGGAATCATTTCCTTTGCTGGAAAAGTTCAACATATGAACCTGAAATCATTTATAAAAAGGAAACATTTAAATGACTGTGAAAATCATCATCCACCCTTGCCCCATAGAGTAGGCTGTTAAGCTGAATCTGACATAAGCATTAAACAATATATCAGATTCATATTATACCTTCTAAAAAATTTCTACAACCCGGTTAGCTTCCATAAAAAGTAGAATGACCTCTACCTGTGAAGTATTAACGTCCAATTCATGAGCAATGAATTCTGCAAGTTCTGTGATGTGAGGAGCAAGGTCTGAGTAATTGACACTCAATGACATATCAAACATTATGAGCCCAACTTGGGATTCACCTAAGCATTGAAGGTCATGGAGAAGCAATGTCAAATAGAAACTTCAATCCAAACTGCTAAAAGTAACAGCACTCAATATCACACAGAAGTCAAAATGAAGAACATGGAAAATACCTTGTTCATATGGTTATTCCAGTCTTGATTATTGAGTAAATAAATACTAAAGAAGATTTAAAGACTAAAGAAGAAGAATAAGAACTAAAGCCTTCAATAACATTCAAAAAGATGATCTTTTGCTACTTCAACAAGCCTGTGATAGCAGTATTGTCAAAAAATGGAAAGTCATGCATATAGTATGGTTTGGAAGTTTTAAGAAGATATCTTTCTGCCATAGAAATCTTCAGATGTATTGATATTACATAGGCTATGTCTATGATAAGGGTGCAACTTAGGCAGGCCCAACTAGAGCCCAGACTGACCCAATCCACAAATTTACATAGGCTGGGCTTGGATTTTCAGTCCTCAGGCTGGGCCTAGGCCCAAAACTTCAGACTTTTTCGGGCTGGGCTGGAGCCTAACCCTTAGGTAGCCCCATAGTTGTCAAGGCGTCACCTAGGCGACTAGGCGCTTTTCAAAGAACGCCTCGCCCAAACGACAGGAAAATCTATGTTAGGCACATGCTTAGGGGGCTGAAGCAAATATATAATATATAAATATTTATTAAATAAATATAAATATATAATATATAATATTTTATTGGTTGTTTTAATTTTTATAATAGAACCTGTTGCATGTTATCATGCTTTTGTTGTGAGGAAAGTAAAAACAAAATTAATCTTCGAGGGTTTCACTTTGACAATAGAATCAAACTGAGGAAGAGGAGAGAACAACAGCCCTCCATCGTTCCCACACAGTCCTCTAAAGTCAAGGTGAGTTAATCAATTTTCTTCTTCTTCCTTTTTTTCTCATTATTGGTGACTCTGAAACAGGGGCTCCACCCCTTCTTTTATTCTTCATATTCTTCTTTTATTTTAGTATTTTTTTCACCAGCTTTTCTGGGTCTAGAACAGGGGCTCCGCCCCCTTCTTTTGTTCTTAATTTCTTGCATTTTTCAGCTTTTTTTTGTTCTCATCATTGGTTTCTGAAACAGGGCTCCGCCCCTTCTTTTCTTCTTTTATTTAATATTGTTTCACCAACTTTTCTGGGTCTAGAACAGGAGCTCCGCCCCCTACTTTTCTTCTTCATTTTCTTCTTTTATTTACTATTTATTCCCTATGTATTGTTGATCTAAAATTGGGGCTCCGCCCCCTTCAGTTCCTTCAAGTTCTAACTTCTAACTTGTAAGATGCAACTCTAATATATTGTTTTGCCTACTTGAAGCAACACTGCAAGAAATACAAGCACATAAGTGCAGAATACATAAAACCAAAAAAAAAAACTAGTTCAGAAGGGGTAGAAATCCATTGGCAAGCCTTATTTTTAAATTCCATCACCTAGGTGAGGGCTAGGCGCCTGGGCACCCCATGGTCGCCTAGCCCACCTTGGTGCCTTGAAAACTATGGGTACCCCAAACCCGGCCCAACCTCATCCCAACCCGAGCCCAGTCCAATTATATATATATATAGTATACACATATTTGCATGCATACATGCATATGTGCATACATGTAAACATACATACAAACCCATCAATTTTTAGTGTGCATTGATTATTAAGCAGTTCATAGTTACTGAATTTGAGATCAAAGATCTTGGAAGCCTAAGCCAGATCAAGAAAGGGAATCTTTATTTCTCAATTGAAGCGTAAACTATCTGCTTCAAGAGACAATAAAACTTGGGGCTTACCAATAGATACTCAATTGATCCAATCACAAGATAAATGCTTTAAATGGAAAATTGTTAAGTATGTTGGAAAGTTCCAAAGACTAATGATACAATTGATTTACATATCATTGACCAGGCCTGATATTTTGTATGCAATGGGTGGTGTGCCAATATATGCATGTTACCCATAGTCCATATCTTGAAGCTACTGAGAGAATCTTGAGATATCTTAAGACTACTCTTGGAAAAGGCCCATTGTTTACTAGCCTGGGTCACTTCCATGTAGAGGCTCACTTTGTGTTAAATGGGCTAGTTCAGTGTACAATAGAAGCTCTACATCTAGCTACTCCACTCTCGTTGGAAGAAATCTAGTTACTTGGAGAAGCAAGAAACAATCTATTGTAGTGAGATTCGAAGCAGAACTAGAGTAGAAAGTAATTGCTCATAGAGTATCTAAGCTCCAATGTGGGTGAAGCAGTTCTTGGCTGATTTGGGAGTTCATGTTGATCATCATATGATGATATATTATGATAGTAACACAGCTATTAATATTACACAACTCCATTTACATGACCACATCAAGCCTAATTTTTTATGACTTCCATACCAAGTATATTGAGGTGGATCAACATTTCATCAAGGATTTTTGAAGCTCAAGAAATTTGTTTACCCTTATGACAACTAATAACCGATAGGAAAACTTCCTAACAGAAGGAGTTGTTAAAGCAAAGCTAGTTGAATTTCCAAGCAAGTTGAAAATGATTAATATCTTTGCTCTCATCTTCTTTATTCTACATTTACAAAGTAGAATAGGTATTTGTTCTAGTCATTCAAATGTGACCTGGGTTTTAAGTCCCTTCCACTGCCATCTTCATTTAAGAGTTCCTTTTTTATATATAAAAAAAAAATATGATAATGCAAAATGGTTATATGTAAATGCTTTATAGTTATAAGAATAAATATTAAGTAATTATATAAAATATTAAGTATTCTACATAAAACAGTGTAAAAAAGAATACTTGTGTCCCAGCCATCTGTCCTGCAGACCCATGTGCAAAGCCAGGCTTGGCCCAACCAAGGTTCAAAGTTTCATCTTATATCAGGGCATATTGGGCATATCATATCATATCGGCCCCATCCCAATACGTGAAATATTAAGTATTTTAAAATTTTAATATTTTCAGAGGGTAGGCCTTGCTAAGACCGGCACCCTGTAAATTTTTGCGAAAAAAAATAGGAAGCATGTTAGTCAAACCCTTGATACACATGTTCCAGCGTATCAGGATGTATCCATATTTTGAACCTTCGGGCCAGCCCAATATATAGCCTATGCTAAATCCAGGTGAATAAATTGACACCCGTAATTATAAGTACAATAACTATGAACCTACTTTACATAAAACAAATTTCTGATCTCCCACCAATCTATAGTTCCATGCAAGGATATATTTGTGTTACATATCCAAATCAGATGGGTAAGTCAGACTTGCAGATTAATGTACCTGGAATTGTATAGCCTGGTGATCCATTAGGAGGCAAGCTAGGTGAAATAATTTTAGTTGAATTCCTTCTGTGATAAGCTGAAGGTGCTGGTGAAGGAGCATCAGTGATGTTAAGTCTCTTCCACAATTCAGAACAATTAGTTTTCAAGAAGCCAATCTTTTGATTCTCACGATCATAAGTCACAAGAGTATTCCGAACAATTATTCCTATTGTAGAAAATCATTGAGGAAAACACGTACATATTTGAGAACTTGTAACTCCATCATATTATATGCAGGAGCATTAATGCAACATATACATGAAGGACATCATAAAATATTACTTAGAACAGTGCACTCAATAAAGCAAAGACATACCCCCTAGAAGAGTTGTTGGATCTTTCCCATTCTGGAAAATACCCAGGCAATATGCACCACGAACCTTTGAATGCTTTATAAAGAAATCACAACACAAGAAGAGAGAATCATCGGATTATAAATATCAAGAGAACAGTCCCAATAACAACAACTAAAAGGGGGAAATGATTTTTTTCTTTTAAATTTAAATCAACCTCGCCAACAATATATATTAGCGTCTTCAGTAAGTCTGGAAAAATTAGCAAATAACATTACCCGAAACAAGTAGTTCTCCGGAGCCAGTGACAATTTTTCACCATTGCTAAACATCATGTCAACTGCTGGGAAGGTCTTTGAGAGTAGGGAGACATCACTACAGTGCAATTCACAAAGAATTATTAAGTGTTGGTCAAAGATGTATAAAGCAACTAGGCAAGCGGAAGATGCTTATACCTTCCAGCACCAGAAAAGCAGATATCATTATAGTTTGGGTCAGGACCACGGATTTGTTTTAGGGGGCGAAGTTTCTTCATAATCTATAATGATACACAGCAAACAACAAAAATAAATCATTTAAAAGAAACAAATATGCCAATATAAAGAAATATTTTTACTGATTTTAGTATAGTGGAAATTTTGTTTTAAAATAAGAAAAAGAAAGATAAGGTCAAATACTTCATTATTGATAGGCAACAATCCCAAAAGCGTAAACATGATAAATGCCCATCACACTGTACAGTGGAGATGATGGTTATGAGATGGACTAGTACAACCAAAAAAATAAAATTAGAAATTAGTTTTTTATCAATAACAGAAATCATTTTATTAAAGGACAAAGATAATTAAAACATTCACGGAAGAGATAAAGAGGCTTAACTCTCCCGAAAAGAAAAGATAAGAAAATGACAATAAAGCCCAAAACATCTGTTCTCTTTTTTTTTTTTGAAAAAAGATAATGTAAATTTTATTCATGGTGAAGATAATCATACAGGAAAGGGGGGAGACCAAAGATCAGTTCACCTCCTAAGGATCTGATAATAGATCCCACAGATTGACTGAGTTAAGCATCACAAACAAGTTCTGATTACAAAGAACAGGGATGGTAGAAAGCCAAGAGGCAAGTCTGGCTACAATACACTGAATCAGCACCTCCGGTTCTTTCTTCTCTTTTCTAAAAATTCTGTCATTTCTCTCAGACCATATAGTGCTGATAAATGCAGCTGGAATGGCACTCCCAATGTATTTTCCGTTTTTTTGATAAGCCCAGAAGGTACCAGATCTTAGCAGATCCTTCACTGTGCCAGGCATTACCCAACTAACACCAAAACATCTGTTCGCTTCCCACCCCTTGTTTTGCTAATGTATCTGCAAAAGCATTTGCAGTCCTCTTCACCCACTGAAACTGAACCTTTGTCCCCCTAGTTAGCCATTTAGCCTCCCTTCTCTCATTTGTATATTTCCACAGTCCACTGTCCTTCTGTAACCAGCTTAAAACCAACTTTGAATAAAATTAGAAATTAGGTTATCCAAAGGAACTTGTAGCGAGTAGCACCATTTGGCAGCAATGATAAAGATGCTTTCACCATGCCAAATGAGATGATTAATACATTTACAAGAAAGATTTATTTATTGGGTACGAACTGAAGACTCTAATGAGACAAAGGAAATGTCAAAAAAGATGTCAAGATGGGTTCAGATTGGTGAGAAGATCAAGGAATTTATCCACAAAAAAGCAAAGCAAGAAACATACAAGCAGGGAAATATCAACAAGGAAATCCAAACTAGACAGAATAAAGAGCAACTTGGGCTGCCCTCACAGGCTCCTCATACACTCTAAACTAAAAGGAAAATAAGGGCGAAACCCCAACATAGATCCACTATCCCAACTCCTCTGGCTAAAGAGTCAGATAGCTCATTGGTAGATCCAATGAAGTGAGGTGTTCCTTGAAGACACCAAGAATCTAGCCTCCCAAGATGATCATGTAAAGGCATGACCATGGAAAGAGCAAACTGACAAAAATCATATATTTTCCTTGTGATCCATTGCTGCACATACACCTGTAATGATATTTTGTCTTGTGCATTTTCCTCATGCTATCATGTTCAGAGACAACACAATACTTCATATTTTTTCTCTTGCTTGGATTTATGGCACCCATTATGCCAAATGCACTGTGCCAGAAAATACATATTACTGAAGCTCATTAAATACCTTTTATCTGTAAATGAAGATTATTTTTCTAACCAAGAATAAATAAAAAGAAATGACACAAACCCTAAATCAGTGTCATCTATCTGAGATTTAACCAATTCAGTTCAAGGGGCCATTACTTATTGTAATAGTAAAGTCTTGGGCTGGCAATCACAAGAACACAGATTTAGGTCTGAGAGTGGCCACTTTGTGCAAAAAATTCCAAAGGTTAAGACCAGATTCAGTCTACCCCTCCCAAGACCCATCATTGGGTAATGGCCAGTTCAAGGTACTTTCCCTACCCTAAAAATGGAAAAATATCAAAAAAGGAAATCTAAGCCTTTACATACTATTTGATATGAATTAACCGAAAAAACAAAGTAAAGCTTGAAATTCAAGACAAAGAAACCTTACAGCATTCTTAAATGCTAAAAATGCTGCTTCTGGTAGATAAGCATAGGTGGTACCACTATCCAGGACAGTTCCATGCTTTCCATCAAAGATATTGGGGTTTAGTTGCAATGGCTCTCCAGCCACATGTATTTCCTTCAGCTCAATATTGTAATATGGGCTGTCACCATACCAAAATTAGTGAATGTATGAGATGTAACGAATGTATCTTTTGAGGAATTTGTATTTATGAGAGAAACTAATCAAATCATACCTGCGCCCAGGGTCTGAATTGGAGAAGACCATGTCAGGTGGATGAGGGAACCCACCGAGAACCATTGCACCCCCACCAACATCCATCCCACCAAAACATAATGAAAATGAATCACTGATTACACCCTTTTCAACAAGCTGGTCCACAATACTAAGTTGACCACGACCTAGGCCCATTATACCATCAGCACGTTGACTGTAAAGGTCGCCAGTTTCAACATTTTCACAGCCAAAAACAGCACGCTGGGGAACAAGCTCACTTTCATTGCCAAAGGATATTATGTCCTCACCAAGCACACCACTGCTAGAGCTCATTTCAGCATACTGTCTTTCATAAATGCATTGCACTCTCTCATTATCACAAGTACAATCTATATTGCATTTTTGAGGTTCATAAGTGCTTGACAAGTCTGGCTGAAACCTTGGATCCTGGATGACAAAAATAAGAAAAAGGAAAAATAAATCATTGATATTTCAAATAAAGAGGAAGGGAAAAGAACAATTCATTTGCAAAATACGGTATTTTTCTTTAAAATATGTCTAGATAGAACATCACAGAGGAAGAATATTTGTGCATCCAAACTCAAATTCATTTGAAAATTCATTTAAATTAATAATTTAACAACTCTAAAATACAGTATTTTTCTTTAAAATGTCTACATAGAAACTCAAATTCATTTGTAAATTCAAATTGGTGGGCTGGGGTGGATGAAGATGTACAAAGTATGATTATATGAGATGCAACAGTTCCATTGACAACTGATATCCAAATCAACATATGTAATGACTAACTAGAAATCCACAAATTGCATATAAAAAACTAGATTACAAATGAACTTGCTGATTTCTCCATTAGAGCATGAGAAAGAGGGGGAGGGGCTCAACAATTTGCATCACAACTTAAGGAATAGCAGAGCATAGCCTCCCACAACTCTAAAAGTTGAAATGCAGAGTTTCAGCAATTTTTTCCATAGAGACATTCAACAATTTGCATCACAACTGAAGGAACGACAGAGCATAGCCTCCAACAACTACAAAGTTGAATGCAGAGTTTTCAGTAGTTTTTCCATTAAATAGTCAACTTTCTTCATCACTAATCATGTAACAAATTATAAAACAGAAATCATTACTCAATGTTGGTCCCAGCTATTTGGGGCCTTAGAAGGGGTAGACTGGATAGAGACCTAATCTTTGGCATTTTCTGCACAAAGTGGCTGCTCTCAGACTCAAACCTGCATTCTCATGCATATAGATGTCAATAGGTTGGGTTTTTGGTATGGGATCTCGCTCAACCCAAACCTCACCAGAATCAACTTCAACCAGAACCTGACCCAATTAAACAAACTAGGATACTGAACCCGACCAACCCACCCCACAAATTACACATCTACCAAGGCTACATGTACAAATGATTCAATTCTACAATGTCAACAGGTCAGGTCTGGCAATGGTGTGCCTCAACCCAAACCCGACCTGAAATCCTATTAAGGCTGATCCAGCCCTAACCTGATAGGGTTGGGTTAATGTAGGTTTACCACTTAATATGACCCAACAATATCCCCATTCATTCATGTAAGAAATTATATGGAAGATAATTACCTGAGATGATCATCTAAAGCTACTTCAAATTGAGTTGCCATTGTTTTGATCAGCAACAGAAATTGATTTGCCATTTTTTGTGCTATATGTTTGGTTAAAGTTATCTTTAGAAAGTGGATCAAACAAGAGCTGGATGTGTGAATGACATCTAGGTCAACCCTAAGATCCATCAAGCTCTGGTTTCCAGGATAGGGAGAGTTAGAGGCGGCAACCTAACCCCAAGAAATCCATTGGTTTCCAAGCTATTCATATTGTCCTAGTTTCTCTGACTATGAACCAGTTGCATTTTCATAGTATTAAACATTATTGTTTTCTCAAACCCTAAACACCTATTCTACCTTAATTATGTATCTCTAATACCCCAAATAGCTCTAGATGAAATATCTTACTAGTATAGAATTTTATGACAATAAGTAAGCCATAAATGCAAGCCCATGGGTAAGAAAAAGAAACCAAAAGCATCCCAAACCCAAGAAAATAGAATACCTTATGCTCATACATCTAAATTGGTAGACCTCAGAATTCATCTGAACAAGCAATTTGGTTGACTCATTAGTATACATTGCTGCCTTTGTGAATGGAGGATGAATATCCTCTTTTACTTGTGGCTGTCTCATTTATCTTAATCTTAATGAAAAATAAGCTTTATCCCAATAGTTACCCAGTTCTATAACAAAGAAACTTATTGAGTTATGTAGCCAAATTCTGTGATTGTTACTTGAATTTAGAACAAAAAGGTAACTATGAACCTCAAACCAAGCTATAAACTAGCTGTGATAAGAAATGAATCTATTGCGGTTTGAGGTAGTGATGTAAGACTTAAAAGTTGAGGCTTTAAAATAACACAAATCTAGATGTGCTATAGTATAAGGAAGAGAATTCAAGTAGCACACTTCAGGGATTAAAGTCTAGCCTATGCGAATTACAGAATCAAAAAATGGCAAAACGAAAAGGAGAGGTGAGAATCTAAATCTATATTACTATATCAAGAGAATGTCATAGTAAAGACTACCCGTCAACATTATATAATAGTCTTACCTGGTGTTTGCCACACTGTTGGCATGTAGAGCATGGAACGTAAGTAACAGTACTCCCCGAATCAACAATAAGAGCAAATTCCTGAGGAGGCGTTCCGATCCAAAGACGGGTGGTGTAGTAACTGCACAGATCGCGCACGCCTAATATTAATTCGAATGATAAAAACCCGAGATGAAAATTAAATAGCCCTTAATTCGTGAAATAAGACGAAAACCAAGACTTTAGGACATAAGTTACCCATTTAAGAGAAGGTCGTCGTAAAGCCTCATGTGGGCGTTCGGGACTTGATGCCCTGCCGTCTGCAGCTGTCGACGGAAATTGTCCTCGACGAAGGACCGAGACGAATTGGGCGATGAGAGAAAGAGCGGAAAAATCATTGCGGGACCACTGCGACGGTCGCTTGCGTGGAACGAGCGGAGGAAATTATCGTGGTCTCCCGCAAGCGCCAACGACGAAGAACAGATAGTCGAGGGATGAATAATCCCGACAGAAACCAGCATGAGAAAGGCTAAGGCAACCCGAACCAATGCCCATGCCATGGTCACTCTGACTCTCTCTAGGCATCCGAGAGAGCTCAACCGAATATTTTGAGGTTAACGACGACTACCAAAGGGAAAGATGGGTAACCAACTTCAAATGGAGAAAGACAATAATTGAAAGAAATGAATGAGAAGTGCAGACAAAGGAAGGAACTCGTCTCCTTCCTTCAGAGCACCACTGTCAAATGGTTCGACTTTTCAACCTCTCCGTCACCACCAACTGAAGCAAACGGAGTTAATTGGATCGACACGACAACGACGAGGACCTTTTTTTTTTAGTTTAGTTTTTGGACAAATATGCACCTATAAAATCGTGGGGTTCTTTTAATTCAACCAGCCAATAAGTAACATTTCTTATTCACAAGTGGCATGATTCGGTGGGAAAAAACTATAACAACAAAAAAGAATTCATCAAACTTAGGAGTCGTAATCAATGAGCTTGACACCGTTGATTTGATAAAACTGTGGGACCATATTAACACGTAAGTTGAGTTTTTATTTTTTTACGGCACGTTGAGTTTACGTTCATGTCATTGCCTGGCCTATTGTTGGCATCTCAGCGTGTATTGAGAATATCTCCCGAACTTATTTCGGAGCACATTCGGGGGAGGGGCAGATGTGACTTGCAGGGTTCAAATATATATTAACTTTAAAGTTGATAATTGCAAGCTAAAAATTAAAACTTGGTGTTAGTTGTGTTGACTTGTAGAGTAGTGAATTCGTACTTGTCATGTGCGAACTTGAGTGTCATTCTGGCCTTAGTGTAGAGATAGGGATGGATGGATTCGAGCAGGGCCCAAAGCTCGGGTTTGAACTATACCAGTCTGATACATATCGGCTGATACGTCGGGTACAGGTAGAATGGCATTGAGTCCCAACCATTCCACCCGTGTGGCCAAGCCACATACTGGTCAATCTAGAAACCGATACAATTTGTCTAGTTATCAGATGTATCACATCGATGTTTAAGACCGACCTTGAGGAGTGGAGTTGGGGGAAGAAGGAAAAGAAGAAAAGGATGTATTTTGAAGTCTCAAGAATTCCTTTGACAGGCGCAAAAGTAAAAGCGCTGATTACCCAGTTACCATACCATGCCTCTTTCCTTGCTACGTTCATAAATTGCAGTTCAGATATCCATTTAAGCAAACCGGATGGATAATAGTTTCTCGTACTACCAGTACCATATATCATATAAGATTGGGAAAATTCTGCTTACCAACAACTAACAAAATTTGGTCAGTGAAAATCTTTCATAATGAACTTCCACCACACAAACTATCTAATCATTTTGAACAACTGTATTATTCCAATATTCCTAAATCCTAAAATTTAAAATATTCAAAATTTTGTGTAAAAAATGCTTAAATTGGAAGCCCAAACATTTTACCATGGGAGACTATGCCCCATTGGATGAACTGTTGAATCAATGAATTTTATATGGGCTACATTTAGCAAAAGAGTACTTCATCTTTATAACCCCCCCCCCCCGGGGACTCTCCCAATGTCTTTAGCTCCTCTCTCTCTCTTAATAGTTGGTTCTAGCCCTACTGCATCAGTTTTAGTATCAAAGTTAACGGTTAGTCACCATGTTCTCACAAAGTGACTGATTCTAGAGGCCTAGGGTATCAATTAAACAATCCCATGGGTCTAGAATCAATGGTGATAGGTTTTTGAACCATATGAAGGGTCTATAGGTGATTTATTTGAGAATTTGATGGAGAAGTAGATCTAGTAATGTCGGCTATAGGAGTAAGGCTTTCAAGAATGTTAGAAGAGAAAGGAAAGTGCCTAATTTCAAGGAAAGGAACTTCCAACACCCGTGGTCAACTTGAGGTTAATGATCAAGAGGAGATAGAAGTGGAGCAAGTTGAAAAAATTCAGGTACAAGATGCAAATGTGTTGGTTGTAGTAGATGTTAGTAAGGAAGTCATGACACAAGTTCAACTGGAACCGATTCAAGAATTACAAGTTGGATCTTAAAAAATTAATGAAAGTTATCGTTTACCATAAAAAAAAAAAATAGTACAAGTTCCACCAACATCAATAATGGCATAAGTTCAAGAGTTTTCTGTAAGAACCAAAGGTAGCTGGAACACATAGAGATGGAGATTTCTCAATCAAAGATTGAAGGAAAAGTTCCAAATGCTACAGTTGAGATTTTGAATGTAAAAGTTCATAGTGATGAGCAAGGGGAAGATTCACCACAAGATAGGCTGATTGGTGATGTAAGTGGTCAAGAAGCTAATGTTATTGATTATTTAACAATGAAGGTGATGGAAGGCAGTGTTTCAAACATACATTGCTTTCAAGATCCATTTATAGCTATGTGTGTGACATCTACTATATAGTCAGAGTGTGTTGTAGTAGTTATGGGAATTACTACTCCTTTAGTCATTGAGGTACATCAACTTTTCATCCTCAAATTCTTCAAAACTCAAGGACGAGTTTTTTAGAACTAGGGGAAAAACTGCAGGAGCTGAAGAATCAAATTTGGAATTTTCTGTATTTCTGTATATTTGGACAGTATGGGTATTTCGTCATTTTAACCAGTCCCATGTGGACTTGAGCTATAGCATCTTGTTCCTCTAGCTTAGTAGTGTTTCTCTTTCAATTTTCAGTTTAATTGCATTAGTAGATAGAAAGTTATTATGTTTCTTGATGCACAAGACAGGGAGTGGCTTTTTTGTGATTATGGTGAACAGTATTCCGAGCCACACAAGTCGCTCTATAAAATAGATGTATTCTCTTCCTTCTGAATCTAGTAAAGATTTATTTAGAGCTCTCTTGCAAGTTTTCTGTATGGAGTGATTCCTACAAACCCTACTACCCTAGAGTAGTTCTAGCCCTACTACATCAAGCTATCTGGAGACATGTAAGATGGGGGTTGGATACTTCTCCTCAAAAGTATATTTTACCAATTAAGTCAAGAATTTACTCCCACATCACAAGCATAAAACATTGAGGAAAAAAAAAAGCAACTTAGGAAGGAAAGAAAGATAGAATATCCCATCCTTCAAAAAAGAAAGCTAGAAAGAGTACCATTCCCTCCCACAGAATCTGCAACAGAGTAATACCATTATTCTCTTAAGAATAAAGTCAATTAACTTGTCAATTGACTTTTATGGTGAAAATTCTTGCAATCTCAAGGGGTGGCAGTGGAGGTTCTTGTTTCTTTTGGATTGAGTGGGATAAGGTTGGGTGAAGGTCTTTCTCTCTCTCAAGTGACTGCTGAACATTTTTTTTTTTTTTTGAGAAAAACTGGACATTATCACAACCTGATTTGCTCTTTTAAAGGCTTGTCACTCACTAATGAACCAAGGCCTCGTAAGTAGGTAGAGGGTGGCTATGACATAATTCCTAGCTCAAGATTAGAACTATATGCTATAACAAGTTATTGTGCACCTTTTCAGGGGACAAAGGGAAGGAAGGTCTACCCTTCGTAGGCATAAAACATGGATTTACTCCTATAACCATGAGAAGTATAAAGAAATAGTCTATTCAAATTGGAATTGCCAATCTATCCACTGCATGGTCAAAATAGAAATAAATTTTGCTGGTAAAAAATAGAAATTATTTTCAATTGACCACTAGTTTCATTTTGTTTCCATCCACCTATCTATGCTTTCATTTTATATCCACTATGGACATCTCATTTTTATACAAATACTAAACAGTTAAAGGCAACCAATAGCACATATTGCACATGATAAAGGTGAAACAGGAGTCCCAAATAACAAGGAAAATGCCTATTATTGAGTTGAAGTGGGTCAATTAAACAAGTCTGGCTTAGGACCTCAAATATCAATAATCTTTAGTATAAGTATCATCCACAAAGGACTGCAATACCACCCAAGAGATACCCAATAGGCACATCAATTGATCTTAGTCTTACAGAGTTATCCATAAAGGGCTCTCATATGACTAGTTGAGCACAAAAAGATATATAGTGTGCAGCCACCTAAGAACTGTAAATATCACTTCTCATATGACTAAAAAAATGAAGGCATAGAGTCACAGCTTGTTTTAAACATGAAAACCTTAACAGAAGATGGGAAAGCACCACTACTCCAAATTGTTGAACATGGTAAATAAATTCATACAAAAGAAGATGGGAAAGCCCTCAAGAATTTTGTCCCTTAAAATATTTAAGGAATAATCCAACTCTACTCTTACTGTATAACAAGTAAAAAGCAACACCGGAAAGATCTGGGAATTGTACAGTTTAAATGATATTTCATTATTGCCTCACATCCCCCACAAATGGCCAGTATCAATACTTGAACAATAACACCTCCACCCACCCCCTTTTCCCAGTCTCCAAAATCTACTCCACCCCATATACAGCAATTAGAAATGATAACTAACTACAAAATAAATAAATAAATATTATCACCCTCAAGAGAATGACATATGTAGGGGAAAATGTCCTGAAGTAGGGGAAAATTAACACAGGCCTGACCTTACAGGCTCTGAAATTTGTTTCTAATGCTACCTCCGTACATTGTACATTCTTCAAAATGCCGCTTACTTGTTTGCATTGATCCATTGTACTATCCGTTTCCCATAAGGGTTGCTGCGCATAGAAGGAAAGTGCATTTGAAGCAAACTACCAACAAGTGCATTGCGGATGGGTCCCTGCTCTTGCAACAAAGAAGACATGGATCACAACTCTAAAATCAGCAAAAGCAAAGTTCTGCACAAATGGCATGCATAAAGATGGATGAATTACTTATTAAGGCCCTGTTACATGATTAACTAGTTTAGTTATTTAAAAATTAAAATAACATTGTTATACTACTTAATGACCTTATTTTGTCATATGCATTGCTAGTTGTTTTAAAAGGCAACAAATATAAGAAAAAGTAGAGGACTTCTTTTAGATATTTTCCCAATCAGTGGGGTGGTGGTAGTAGTTGCCACAAACAAGGGAACCACATTGAATAGTCAAGATTATTCATTGCATATTTGAAGCCCATATTTAACTGATATCTATGATTTTTTTATTGGAAATTGATATCTATGATTTCACCAATATCTTAAATCTAGGGAATATCTTTTTGTGCTCAAATAGTCAATTATTAGGCGTCGGATCTAATCACTTCATTGCCTAGGGGGGTCAAAACTAGTCATTGCCTTATTGTATTGGTAACACTATATATCGTTATCTGGGACCATATGACACTCACATGAAAGAGGATCAGCAAAGACAAAAGAATGAAACCTATTTCTTAAAGCAGTCTAGAAACATATGCATGGACATATGGTGATGGTTCTTTGAGGTTGAAATCATGGCTGTGATGGAAGGTGTACAAAGGGCAAAGGAATTGAATATTAGGAGGCTGATTATTGAAGGTGATTAAAAGCTGGTGGTGGGCTGGCTGCAAAAGGAGGAAGTTGGTTGGTCAAGCTATGTTAAGGAGAGAAGAAGATTCAAGTGGGTGACGTAAGGCATGGAAGTTAAGCTACTGAGCTACAGTGGGAGAAAAGAAGTGTTAATTCTTTGGTTGATGTTTTAGCAAAGCAAGGGGTGGGAAGAGATCAACTTTTCTGGTCTTTGTTGTAATCTGTGTACATTATGAGGGGAGAGCTAAGAGAGTTTATCTCTCCCCTTGTTGTTCTCTTGTATCTTTTTAATTCTTTTAATCTAATGAAATGGTGCACTTATTGATAAAAAAAAAAATGCATGGTTATAACGGGATAGTACGGATCATCTGACCTTGGCTACTGATAAAGCAGACTGGATAACGTAGTTTGCATACTCATGCAAGGGAAGCATAAAAAAGTCACAGCTACTGAGCAACTCCCTGATAATCCGTGTAGATTGCTCTACTTCTGAGTACTTTAAACACTTCTCCACCACATGGCTGCTAAACTTCTGCAAAGAGAGGGATACAAAATTCCCTTCAAGCTGCCTCAATATATCCTCTGTAAGATGTGGTATATGCAGATCCAGAATATACTGCACTACATAGTTGCTAAACCAAAGAAAATAATAACATAAATGTCTCAAGTTAGATGGTAGCTTTGGGAATTATATCATCAAAAACAAATAGAAAGTAGAATATGGATAAAGGTTAAATAACAAACCCAAAAGGATCTTGTGATAGTAGTAATGCATTTTCAGTAATTTCAGAAATAAGGCGCTCTCTAGGCTCTCCTTGGGCATGTTCCACACATTGCTGCAATACACAACACCCACTTCGATCTGTTGCAATCTCAACACAGTGATCAGCTACTGCATTCAATAGATACTGCCAAAAACAAAATAACTAACAACCATTGAGTAAAAGTTATAACTTGAGCTAATCCAAGTATGATATACAACTAGTAAATTACCACTAAGTTACAATTGATTGAGAGTCCAATTGTAAGAACAACAATCCATACCTATCTATACTAGACAGCTATAAACCTACAATAAATGAACACTTCAATGCATAACATATTCAACCTTGTGTTGGTCGAAATATCTTAGATCGTTAAGTGGAAAATAGAAAACAGACATTCTGATTTGAAGTATATGCCCAAAACAGTACAAAATTATATAGACATGAAGTTAGAGAGGAACCTCTAGTCTACAAATTGAATTGAAATGAATAAAATAAAATTCCCCCTTTCTGTCCATAAAAGGGCTTTCATATCCAGATCCTGGTGATGCATATGTTCCAGTATCAAAGGTGAAAGGTTTTATGGCTTGATGGGCCTCCATCTTTGAACTGGCACTTTATCCTACAAAGATCTTGCGATGAAAAAAACAAAAACAAAAACAAAAAAATGGCATTATGATTTATTAGAGTGTAAAGGGTGTTTTTGGAGTTGTAGATTCATTGGAAGGATTAGAGATTTGGTTAGTGACCAGGATAAAAACCGTTGAGAGTAAATGTGGAGACATTCAGCAAAGGAATGAAAAGGGAGGTCTTTGAATTGTTGGCCAGTGGCTTAATTCCAAATTTCCTCCATTTACGCATTCATAGATTCCTTTCTATTTTTGGTTTGGAGAAGTTTTCTTCATTTTGTGGTAATGGAGGTGTACTTGTAACAATAAGGCTCTCTCCCCCAATAACCTTTCAAGCTATGCCAGGTGAGCTTTCCTAGGTTTGCCTAGATAAGCTCTTCGGTTACTTAAGTTGTTTGTTGCAGTCCTCTGGGGAGTCAGGCCTTATTGTCTGTCTAGTTTTTGGGTTGATTCATCATCATTTAAGTGATGTCCCAACCATATGGGATCAGCTACATGAATCCTATTTTCCATTCCATTCTGTTCAGTGTCATATCCATCATTAAATTGTGGACACTTAAATCATTTCTTATTACTTCCATCCGAGTCCTTTTTGGTTTGCCCCTAGCTCTTCTAGCTCCTTCAACTTGTGACAGATCACTTACTAAAAGCTGTTGTAGATGGACATCTAGGTTCCTTTGCATGACTCCATTTCTAACCCTGTCCTGTCTAGTTTTATTACACATCCATCTAAGCATTCACATTTTTGCCACATTCATTTTTTTGGACATGTTGTTTCTTAATTACCCAACACTCTGCTCCATACAGCATAACTAGCCTTACAACAATTTTATAAAATTTTCCTTTTATCCAAAGTGGTATTCACCTATCACATAAGACTCCACATGTACCCCTCCATTTTGCCCATCTTGTTCTAATTCTATGAGCAACATCCTCCTCAACATCCCCTTTGTCGTTAACTATTGAACCAAGGTAACAGAAGAGGTCACATTGAGTTATCTCTTGGTCTCCAATCATAAGTGTACCCTGATTTGCACTCCTATTATTATTAAATTTACATTTCATATATTCTACTATAGTCTTGCTTATTTAAAACCTCTTGTTTCTAATGCAGTTGTCCATAAACCTAATTTTGCATTTAACCCTTCACTAGCTTCATCAATTAAAAGTATGTCATCATCAAACATCAGGCACTATGGGACATTGTATAGGGTGCCCACCGGCAAGGTGGAGCTCTATTTTCCGATGCTCTTTGCTCCACTCTTCATTTTATCCCCTTGTCAGGAGTCAACTGCCACCACCTTCCTATTGTAAAGACTTTTCTTGGGTTAATATTCTTTCTATGAAGAAAAGACTAGAACAAATGAGTAGCATCTTGCAGGATGGGCAATGGTGGACTCTCACTAGTGGATCTCATGAGGTAAGGGTCATTTACAGAGTTCTTGATAAATGATAACATAGAGACTCCATAAGAGACGACGAAATTGTTTGGGCTGTATCCATGTAGGTTGGTATGATAATATCCAATAAATGGGAATCCAAGATAAACTGATTCACTATAAGGTGCGTAAAAGAGGCAAGCATACTTTCAGTTAGTGGCTGCTTGTTGAGTCTAGTTGCATCTCTTCTTTAAATCTTCCTCTATCAACTGAATACGGAAGGAGTCATTAATCCACACCCAGGGCACTCAAGAAAAATTCTTCACTAGGTCAAGAGCCGTGCCTGTTGAGTCTAGTTGCATCTCTTCTTTAAACTGTCCTGTATCAACTGAATTTGGAAGGAGTCATTAATCCGCTCAGGATATTCAACAATATCTTCAAAGATAGGGATATCTTCTTTCTTTGGTTATTTACTTGACTCCCACCCTCAATGCTCAAGTTGTTAGCGTGAGATGCATGTATACTATAATTTGTGCCTAGAAAAAAAATACTATAATGTGTACAACTTATAATCATAAGAAACTTTCCTCCCAGTCCCAACTAAATGCCTAGATAGAGTCTGAAAGTATGCTTTCTATAGCATGTCCAGTTTCTCATGAACTAGGACTGAGACTTGAAGGCATAAAACGGATGCTGCAACTTAAGATGTACTTGAGCAAGGATTATGAGGGCTTGAAAAGAAAGGGAATCCATCTACCACGGGGTAAATTCCTACCTCACTCCTTAACATGCCCTTCAGTATTTAAACAATGACCTTAAACCACAGAAATCTCAGGTTATATTGGTACATATCAACTCATGGGGATCTTGAGGGTTTAACGATATTTGCATCCTCATTCTGGCTTTATATATAACAAATATGATATGAAAGAATGATAATATCAATTGCCACAAATGGAAATAGCCAATAGCCAAAAATGGCTGCTTCCTCATAAAAGAAAAACTCTACACATGCCACCATAAATTATTTATCATTTTAACTTGAAGCTCACTGAATGTTGTGAAAAAAGGACAACAAAGCTTACTTTTTTGGCTTAAAAGTGTTAAGGCTCTCTAATAAGACAAATAAGTTATACTTCTAGGTAATATAAATAACAATGATGAACAAACTAGAAATAAATATTAATCCAGACAAGACTAATTTCACTGAGATGGTTAGACTTGAAGCAAAATAATAAGAAATATAAGGATTATAATGTGGTACTTAGAATATATGTGTTGATTCAAAAATCCAAGAAAAAGCATTTAGTAAAACACAATGGAAGTAACTGGTAAGGATGATCAAGCTAGAATCAAATGGATGTAACCTGGGACACCCTAGATAACTGATTTCAAACATGATGGGGATGCAAATTTCAGTACTCCAAGATAAAGTTTCTCTTGTCAAATAAATGCTAAAACCTGTAATTGATAGAGATTCTAAGGTAGCCTCCCCTCCACCGTAAGTAAAATTTGGGGTTAAAAAAATACAGATTTTACTTTGTACTTTAGGCTCAGTTTGGAAAGAGTACAACTACAAATATGTACAGTACAAATACATACAAAATGATACAAAATCCAAGGTTTTACACTCTACATATTTGTATTTGTACCCCTTCCAAACTGAGCCTTGGGCTCCATTTGGGAAGAGTGCAAATACAAATGTGTAATGCAAGGTTCATGAAAATGACAACATTTGTATTTGCACTGAACATATTTGTATTTATACACTTCCCAAACAGAGCCTTAATAGAAAACCAGAGTGGAAGTAATTTATCTTAGCAATAGAAGTGCAGAACGGGAACTTTTTTGAGTAGTATAATTGTTCTAGTGAGTAGTGTATAATAACTTCACGCCAGAAACAAGAATTTAATAGAAACAGGATGACGATGGTGACCATTGAACAGATACTATCCTCAGCAAAAGAGAATTTCTAAATGTAACTTCATAGCATCAATAATGCAACATAATAAAGAATAAAGTGCAGGGCAAACCAGCCTACTATGTAATTGAATAAAAGTCATGCGTATCTTTGGGGGATTCAATGGAACATTACTCTATTGTCTTCGTTGGAGAAATTCTTCAAGCAATGCAGAATCACATGATGACCATTCATGTTATTTGTCAAGGTGACCGCGCTAGGCCTCAGAGCCAACATGATGCAGGAAATCTGCTGCGGTGTAGTGAGATGCTCCAACAATTTCTGAACAGCACGAGTCCTGCCACAAGAGTAAAAATTTGTAGTTATTCACATTGAAACCTGACGGAAGCCACCATTGTCAAGAGTCAAGACCCTGAATCTATTTGTTCACATTTCTCTCAAACAATAACAGAGTAACCAATGGTACCCATGAGGATTAAGGCATATGGCAACAAGTTCGAATTTCTCTTTCGTAACAACGTGAAGAATTTCTGTTCTCTGATTTTCATTGCATACTTCTATAAGCTTCTGAACAAGGTAATTCCCAAAAGGGTC